CTAGGACACCTTTCAGCAGCACCTCAGAAGTGATTCAAAACTCACCGCTTCCTCCCGCGAAGTATCTGGGGTAGCACCGCTTCTAGTCCCGCCAACATGAGCCAATGCTATTATAGAGGGTCGGAGAGAGCTGCGTCCGCCCCCTTGCGCTTCGCCTTCTTCGCCGCAGCAGATGAAGCAGCAGCAGCAGCAGCAGGCTGTCATTTCCCGCGTTTCGATTCTCTCTCTCGGATGCCTTCAACATGCTCTCTACCCTTTTCGAGGAGCTCAACTTCATCAGCAACCACAGATTGCACGGATTTTCCAGCTGCCTCGGTGGTACCCTTTCTCGACAGCTGGCTGATCAGCCCGCGGATGTGCTTCTTCCGCTACTACAGCTGGCTCCCTACCCTCTCTTCCCCTCAGATTTCGAGTGTGCGGTCTACCTGCATGAGGCTGCCGCGAGCCACGGCCAGGCCCACGTCGGGACGGCCGTCCTAGAACGAGATTAGGTCTGATCACCTCGAGATTGGTGTCCTCTGTATGTAATTCGACCAAGCGGAGTCNGGGGGGGGGGGGGGGGGGGGGGGGGGGGGGGGGGGGGGGGGGGGGGGGGGGGGGGGTTCGTTTTTTTTTCGTTCGGTTGGTCTCCCAGAAACCTTTCTAGAATCCGTCTCCGTTTTGCATACCGACGAAAACTCGTTCTAGGACGCCATTCTTCGGCATACACCGGAAGGCGCCTGTGGCACCCTGTGCTTCATAGAGAAGCTCACATGGATTCTACAGCAGCAGCGAATGAATCGATACGCCCGGTACAACAGACATAAATGCGAGTAATCGATAGTGGAGACCCTACATGCACACCGGTCGCCCCGGTGGTCTAGTGGGTCATGGGTTGGAGTCCCGACATAGAGCTAATTAAATCCTGGTCTGAGTTGGAAGCGACGCGCTGCAAAGCTCGTTGTTAGTAGACTTGGTGGACTTCATGAGTAAAAAAAAAAAAAAAAACATATAGCCGGTCGCCCTGGTGGTCGGGAGGGTAATCTCGCGGCCTGCTAAGGGCCAGGTCATGGGTTCGAGTCCCGACAGAGTAAGTTTTTTCTCACTGCTTAGACTAAATCCTGGTCTCCGTTGGAAGCAATGCGCTGCAAAGCGCGTTGTTACATAGTAAACTTGATCGACTTCATAAGTCGGGAGGGAAGGGATTGCTGTACCCTTCTCGCGATAAAATTTTCTCAGGCGGGAACCTCAGGAGGCGGTCCACCCCCCCCCTCCTGTGTGACCCCGGTTGGGTCGTCTAGCCAGTAGAAGTGGAGAATAGGGGTCAGAGGGGCAGACGACAGAGTCCAATGATGGGAACAGTCTAAACAAAAGCCACAAAATACATTAGCTAAAGCTCAGGAGGTGGTTGTTGTTTTTCAAATTCCGACAGACGCCGTCGCCAGCGGGTGTGTGCATCATCTTCGTCGTGGTACTTCGCCATGTTTTCAAGATTGGGATGGCACAGCTATATGATCAGTGCGATGCCTCGTGAGCGCGTTCAATCCTCGTCAGCCCCAGCATCCAGTACGACGACGTGCAGCATATTTCGAGAACAATATTATTATTACAGCTGGCTCTATCTGTGTGCAGGCTCTATATCTGTGGTGAGCAGTTGGATCTTTGATCCCGTCGTTTGCGTTGCGGTACATTAGGAAGCCCACAACACGTTCACACGTCGTTGCTACCATCGCCAGATTTGCGGTGCCGTAGCTGCAACTTCACGAACGACGCAACTTCTTCTTCCGTCCATGGAGGGCATCCAAATGTGGGGAGTGCTGCTACCGATCACCTCGCGTGGAGTGGGAGGGGAGGGTGTGCAACCTCTCTCTGATTTGATGGTTGCTCTACAAGGGTTCTTGGAGGTACGTGAGCGTGCATTGGCTTGAAAACTCGTGGAGCCACTCACTCCTGAAATTATCCACAATTCGCAGCGCTAAGCCCACGTTACACGATGAAAGGGAGCGGTGCCCGTGCTCTGACGTATCATCGTCCACTCTTTGATTGCCCGTACGGCGGCAGCAATTTGTTGGGGCCTGAAGAAATGCGCGTGAAACACGCTATCGACATGATGAAGTGTTTGTGCCGACAGCTACAAGCCACGGCGCTTCGTTCACTCTCCTAACAAATCAATCGTATTTACACCCGCCCGCCCGCCCGC